TTTTGTTTTGATATATAAGTTGTTCGGGTTTTTTCATCTAAACAAAAGTGACATTAATTTCTTGACAACCTAATAGTTAAAGAAAGAAAATGAATTATTAAAATTCAATTCACTGTAAGATGAATTCCACTTTTATTATCTTTAATACGGTTGGAACATTTTTTGTGCTTTAATCAAGCATCTAACAAAGAAAGAATAGACTAACACCTTTTCTACTATCCTTTAAATTAAACCATCAAATTAAGAGTTAAAATTTTAAACCTATACATATAAAACTTATTATACATCCGGTAAGACCGTGTTCTATGAATATTGTTTAAAAATAGATCCGTCTTTCTCTTTCACATTTTACGGATTATGAACTTGTAAGTTAATATCAACAAAGGTATAAAGAGCTGATCATTTGGCTGCTTAAAAACTTTGTAAAAATCATTTGGAAAACTAAGCGTCAGAATGAAAATCAGTATCACAACAAATCTGCATCTAACTTTCTCTTACGTTCTCTTCTCCGTGGGACAGCGGTTAGTTTACTGAGTTCCAACATTGAAATCCGGCGTTCGATTCTTGCCAGGGACACAGAAAGAAGCTCAGCTTGACTTTGTTCTAGAATAAAATTTATCATTAAGTACGAAGTCTGACTGAAAAAAAAGACAGTTGTTAATCTATCTTGGACTAAGCTTTACATTTTGTTTTACAAACTTGTGAAAAATTCAATTTTACATTTCCTCGCTGGTAAAATGAACAAACTAGTTAGGACCAATTTCCTCCTTACAAGATTTCTGTTTAAAGTTTAAAAAATACGCATAGTAAAGAATATTAAATGCGCTTCCATATAAAGAATATTAAGATCCAAAAGTTAGTAGCATTTTTCTTCAAATACACAATAAATAACAACGTTACCTATCACATTGTTGCCTGAGCACCTAATAGTTCTGATTCATCACCTGAAATCTCCCGTACACCCACATCTTACACAGCACGATTACAATAATTATCTTAAGTAGCTCGTGCTTTATTTTCCAGAACACTAAATCAGACAATGAACGCCTTCCCTAAATATATATAAAAGTTTAAACTACTCTCTATCTGTTACTGAGAAAACGAGCGTGCAAAAGCAACCCACACGTCACTTAATCTTAATTTTACTTAATAACTAACTGGTCATTAAAACAAGTGTTTTAAAGCGTATAGCAGTGATTATCTTTGATACTCCATACTGTTCTACATCTAACAGCGGAAAGAGGCAATTATCACATATAATGATACCGGAAACTTAAAATATTGCTTCTGCTACAACAATATTCAGGATATCTATTAAAAACACGATTTTTAGTAAAACGAGACTCGGATCATTTGTTAAAATTACTTATTTTCTTTTAATAACAAGATTCAATCAATGTATTAAAATGTTGCTAGGATACAACAAGAATCAGGATATTTGTTAAAAATGGTGTTTCTTGTTTCCACGATAGCAGGATACAAACAATCTCCTAAAGATGCTACTTCTATTATAAGAAGACCCAGACTATCTTCTAAAGAAGTTGCTTCTACAATAACAATATTCAGACTATTTACTAAAGATGCTGCTTATTCTATAAAAAGGTTCATACTATCTCCTAACGATGGTACTTCTAAAATAACAAGATTCAAACAATCGATTAAAGATGCTGCTTCTACTATGGTAAAATTCAAACAATCTACTAAAGTTGCTGTTTTTACAATAACAAGATTCAAACGATCTACTAAAGTTGCTGTTTTTACAATAACAAGATTCAAACAATCTACTA